GCAGCAGCGACAGCGCCCCTCGTGGCAAGGCATCGGCATTGCCTCAAGTTGGAAGGCCGGCTTCAGGGCGGTGGGCAGGAGCCTGTGCTCTGATTGAACCATGCGGTTATTCCATTATCCTGCACCTCAAAAAGAATGTGTTTAAGGCTTCTGTCTGGTGGGGTTTAATTCAGTGGCTTCAGAGTTTTTGAAAAAGCTTTGACTTACCAAACACGACAAACACACTAGCACCTGACAGTTGGGAAACAACAGAGTCCCTGTCCTTTATGGGAAGCAGGGAGGTAATATGTCAAGGAAGGGGGGTATTGACCTCATTACAAAGAGGCAGAAGAATCACTCAGTGCAGTACACTGACGAGGTGGTGTGGATACCGATCACATCCAGTAATTTTTTTTTTTTTTTAAGATTTTATTTATTTGAGAGAAAGACAGCGAGAGAGGGAACACAAGCAGGGAGAGTGGGAGAGGGAGAAGCGGGCTTCTCGCTGATCAGGGACCCCGAAGCGGGGCTCGATCCCAGGACCCTGGGATCATGACCTGAGCCGGAGGCAGACACTTAACCACTGAGCCACCCAGGTACCCCGACATCCAGTAATGTTTTATCCAAGAATATGTCTCTGCTTGCTGAGTTGCATTATACGTATGCATACATACATATATATATATACACACACACACATATGTATTTTGAGTGGGGGGAGGGGCAGAGGGAGAGGGAGAGAGAAAATCGTAAGCAGACTCCACGCTAAATGCAGAGCCTGATGCAGGGCTCAATCATAGAACCCTGAGATCATGACCTCAACCGACTGAGCCACCCAGGCACCCCTGGGTTGCATTATTTTTAAACTTGGCATTCTGGGCAGCATGGTAATTATTGACCTATGCTATTCCATCTTCTGCCTTACTTGCATTTCTAAATAATAAAGGTTGTCACTCACACTGCATTTTTACCGGTGCAGGTGGCCTCCAATCCTCTGTCTGTATGAGGTCAGACCTCTAAGATGGTTTTGTTTATCTCTGACCCTCTTTAGTATGTGAGAAAATCAGGACCTAAGAGCCTTTGACTTGCCCCAGACTACCACAGGTGATGTGGAAGCTCTGGTGTCCCAGGCCAGGCTCATGAGTCATAGAGCACACCGCTCGTCAATTTGGAAGGTGCCCTTCCCACTGTCAGGGTCGGGAAACATTGGTGTATGTACTGTTTGACTAACTTACTCCTACTCAAGGACTGAATCTGGTCAAAATTCTCCTTTGGGAAAATGCCACTTTATCAGTGGGAGAGTAAGGTAAGGTGAATCTTGGCTCTGCTTCCCGACCAGATGGCTTTTATTATTGCATGATAAAATGTGCAGCTTCACGTTTCTGTGCCTCTTGCCACTACAGTGCCCTTTCTGTTTTTAAGGAAAGAAGGATTGTCCAAATGTGGAAGATGCAAGCAGGCATTTTACTGCAATGTGGAGTGTCAGGTAGGTTCTGGGCCAACTGGTAGGGAGGGCCTTGTTTCTGCTGAAGACTGGGACCCTGATGTCCTTCCTTTCCTTGTCACGCCATTCCCAGCACCCTTTTGCAGCCAGACCTGGAAAGCTTAGTTTGGGCCTCAGATGTGGCTGGATACCCCTGAGTGCTGGCCCAGGACTGACAGGCAGCCAGGGATAGACAACGACACTCTGGGGCCACAGGCAGGTGCAGGAGAAAGGGAAAGACTGGAGGAGGGCATGTTGGGTGCAGGCAGGTGTATTACCAAGGTTGACAGTTTGCCCCCAAGGCCACCAGCAGCAGATGGAACACTGTGGAGATGACAAATGAAAAATGCTAAAATGGTATCTTTAAAATATTTTAATTTTTACACCTCACAGGTCTGTATTTTTATAAATCCCCATAAGTAGGCCTCATGTCGCCCTTGGCCTGTTCAAACCCGGTCTGAGTCCAGCTAGACTTCGGTGAGCCCCTGGCACGGCCTGGGGGTGGCTGCTCCGAATCTGTACTTGGAGCTGGTGCCTTGGAAGCAGCCAGGGTTGGGCAGGCTCAGGAGGTGGGCTGCATGTAGACCGTGGGCCATCTGGTTCGATGGGTAAGTCTCCAGGGAATCCTGTAACGTGGGAGTGGGAAGCTCAAGGAGGAGTTTAGAGGAACTCTTGGTAGCTCTTTGAGGGACTAGGAGTGTTGTTTTCCATAGTTGTCTGCTAGATTCTGAATGTTTCACAGAATGTTCATAGGTATTCCACAGAAAACGCATTCCATGTTCTAACAATTTGAATTTAGGGAGAATATGATCTTTGACATCTGTATACCCTCCTTAGTCTATTTTTATTTTTTAAATGGAAACCTATTTTTTTAAATGGAAACCTGGGAAATGCTGATGCTATTAAACAGTGGCTCTAAGTGACAGGATTTTCTCCACAGTCTTTACCTCTTTATTTGGTGATTGTTCTTGCCAGGCTTGGTGTCATTTACCTCCCACACTCCCCCCCCGCCCCCCCCCCCACCGCCTTCCCTGATCTATTTCTGATTAGTCACTACTTCATTGTTTTCTTTCTCTTCTCCCTATGCAGTTGGCCTCTGAAAAATCCCCAAAGAGCATTATTATTTATCAGTGGGAGAGATTGCTGAGCCCTGATGTCCCATCTGACCATAGAGCTCCAGTCACACGGGCCCCTTGCTGGAATGAAGCACAGGCTGAGCCATTGGCCTGGGGACATCTCCCTTGGCTCTGCAGACCCTGTGCGCAGCCCACTCTCCTATGTCTCCCACCGCAGGCTTCCAGAGATGGGCAGCCTGTGTGACAGCGAGAATATAAAGGGGCTTATCACTGAGTTTTCAGGGAGTGTGACTTCTTTTGAGGAGGAGAGATCATACTTTGCTCCTACCAGTTGTGGATAGAACATTCTGTGGTTGGATTGCTTTGGTGCTGGGGAGATCAGTGAGCCCTGGGAATTCCATAATTTGATTCCAGGAATGATAAGTTAGTTCTTTCTATATTTAAGTTAAATACTTCTAGAAAAATTAACTCATTACATTCTGGTTCTTTAGAGAAGCAAGATAGGAATATCACATAGAGTTCAGACAATGTAACACGGAATAGAAGATGATCCTAACTCTGCAATCCACTATCTCCATGAACTTGACAAGCCACAGGACCTCTCTGAGCTCAGTTTCTTCACACATGAATGAAGGCAATAGTGCCTATCCTGAAAAATGGTAGGGGCCTAGTGTTATGAGATCTATGAAAGCTCTCTATAATCATGACGCTGTGGACAGGTGTGAGGACATATGGGAAATACTATGACAGTAATTTAGGCTGGACCGAAGCTTAGCTCTGTGCAAAGAATAAAGTATACAGCATACTTTAGATTTGATGGACTTGGGTTTTTTGTTTTTGTTTCTTTTACCCCAAGAGAATGGATGGATTCTAAAAACCTGAGAACACTAATGGTGTACTGTTGTGTGAGTCATGCTTGTTGCAAAATGAGTCTTAACTTCTCTGATTAACTGTAAACACTGCACTAATAGAAAGTATCAGACTGCGTGAGATGCCAAGTTATCTCTGGGTCTTCCGATCATGCTGCTAACTCTTCCATTACGCCTCCCTGGATGACACTATTTTGATGAACCATTGTGGTCCAATGGGGTTTTCAAGGTGGCCCATGTGGGTCCCCTGCCCTTCAGGACCTAGTTTCCCAAAGCTGCAGACTCAGAAAGCTCATCTGTGAGCACACAGTGAGGGGTGCTCTCCCTAGGGGGGTTCGCACGAACCAAATATGCCGGCCTGGATGTACCAGGATGCCTGCATATCACTTTACAACAAGCAGTTTGACAGTCTGTACATTCTCCTCCTGTGGACAGATTGTACAGGCAGTCAAATCTTAATGAGCTTGCTTGGGTAGCAGGGAAGCCCGGAGTGGAGGGTACTGCTCTGTGATGCTGAGTCATGTTCAAAGGCCTTCGGCCAAGGCAGCTTGCTATGTCCAACCTCATGATGGAGAGTCTTCCCTGCTAGTTACCCAGTGTTTGGGCCAGGGCCCCATCAGCCCTGGAGAGTACTTCTGCAATTCAATTTTGCTATGCTTCTGTGAAGTATCTAGTGGCCAAAGTACCCTCCTAGATGACAAGTGATACCTGGTTCCTGATACCACTTGTTGCTAGAGGTGACAGACTGGATTTCATCTGTACATTTCACCTATCTCCTGGCCATTGAGGTTTGCCATGCTTTTGTGCTGAAGAACTAAGTAAGAGCAGGGCAGTGGATTGTAATGACATAGAATGGTCCTAAGAGTTTAATAAAAGTGCCTAGAAAGAAATGGTAGTTCCAGAGCTTCGTACATAAAATCATTAGGGAGGAATCTGGGGCATTTGCTCCAGATAAAAGTGTGTTCAGGGTTCCTCCTAAGGGGGTGCTTGGGTGGGATCAAAGGGGGAGCTGTGCTGTACAAAACAAGGGCATCGATGGGAAGAGGCAGGTGACTGAGTGATTCTCCACCTAAGACACCAGGGCCCTCGGCTGCTCCCCACGACCACATAGACCCCGCCCACCTGGGGTGCAGGCCTGGGCATCAAACAGCAGAGGTGGGGTGGGGGTCAGAGTGAAGGTTAACGGGTCCAGCATGTGAGTAGAGAAGAAAACAGTGGCCACTAATGATTGGGTGACCTGCCCAAGGTCACAGTGGCAGAAGTGGGGACTAGGCTGTACCGACTGCTGGCGGAAGGCTGTCAGCACTTTCCAGCACTGTGCTTGGGGGTCCCTGAGGGCCCTCGGGAAGAGGGGCCACTATGGGAACACGTCAAAGAGAAGTGGCCTTCAGTGGACGTGAAAGGGGAGAGGCCCTTCTGGTGTCGTCTTTGCCAAAAATCTCCCCAAGAGTGCTAAGGCACACACTCCTCCCCAAGGGTGTCCTCTTCCCAGGGAGTACAGCATCTCAGTAGACCCCAGCCACTATGTGCACTCTCCCCAAGCCCTCTCTGTAACTGCAGTGCTTTAGGATTTCGCTTTATTTTATACAATTTGGTGATATCTTGTCCCATTTACTTTTCTCTTCATTCACTTGACTCCGTGTGATCCTGCCAGAGGAAAGATTTTAATTGATGATGCATGAAAGGATAATGGGAGGAAACATAAAAGAAATAGAAGTTCCTTTTTAGTTAGGCTTATTTTGTAACCAGTGTGTTTTAATGAACTATATTTATTTTTATAAATATGCCTGGAAAGCTAAGGATATTATTTCCTCACTGTAGACTTCTTCATTAAATTGCACCATGACATGTTCAAGAGAAGAGTTTTACAAAGTTAATTTATAGAGGAATCATTGTAGAATAGAACTTTCTAGGGTATTATTTCTTAACATTAACAAATAGAGAAGAAACTATTTGTGATGCATAAACGGAGGTGGGGTTGTGAGTGTGTTTTTGAAAGTAAGGGGCGTGCCCTGATGGGGATAAAAAAGCATGTGTGAGGAGCTTGTGACTAAGGACGTGAGAAAATGTGTGACATTCGTCATTGACGCGAGAGTAACTGAAGTGTAGAAGATGCCTAAGAAATGCTCATCTGACCTTCTTGTTATGGGTGATTTAGTGAATGGGGCCAGAGTCGTAGGTTCAATCCTGGTTAAATTCACTTTGGTTCCTTAACCCAAACCTAGGAAGCATCTTGAACTTGATCACTCTTTTCTCTAAATGTTTCACATCACCGGTGGGAAAACATGTGGATGAATGAATGAGCCCATCCCATGGCTCTTGCAGGGGAACATAAAACAAAGCACATATCCTTGTGATGGGGCTCAGCAGCCTCAGTCACCTTCGTGTGAGTTGGTCAGTGTGCACCTGACTCCTTTTGCACTCTTCCCCTTGATGAAATGGTAGTGGCAGCAGAAATCCCATGAGGTTTTCTTACTGTTCCACATTTCAGGAAGTCCCATGCATTTGTCCACATAGACTACCTCTGTTTTGAAAGCTCCGTTATAGCAAGAGAAATGCTAGGTGCAAGAGTTAGGAAAGGGGACTTCGCAATAAAAACCCAATCTCCTTGTCCAGGCAGACAGCATTATCTTTCGCTAGGCAGAAAACTGGATGAAATAACAGTCAGTCGTTTCTTCCAGGGTGCACCAGCATTCACCATGAGACAATTTTACAACTCTTTATTCGTCTTGAAGCATTTTTGTCTGTGCACAAACAGGAAAATCATGCAGAGCAGTTACTACATTGGCTGAAAATGACTTTGAAGTTTAAAAAGGGTACAGAAATTTCTGTATTTTCCTTTTACATAGATTTAATTATTTAATTTCATTGCACAAATAATCTATGCTCATTTTAGAAAAATCAGAAAGTGTAGTCTGATATGAGAACAGAAAGAGGATCCATAATCTTGTCCTTCCAAGAAAATCACTATTAGCACTTTGGTATCTGTCTGAGTCCTTCCTGTCCGTTTATTTGTATGTTACTTTTCTGGACAAATAGGATCCACGTTTACATAAAATTGTAAAAAGATTGCAATTAGGACAGGAGAAATAGCTTGACTTTTGAAGAAAAATACTCGAAAAAGTTTTAGAAAAACTGACAAAAATGTTTTAAAAAGCATAAGCGTTTGCAAAACCACTCTGTGTACGAAGAAACCGCCCCAATACTAAAGCACAACAAAACAAAACAAAAAGTATTCATTGATACTATTCATTCCTATTCATCAGGATAGCCTAATTTTTTTTTTTTCTATTTTGTCCATTCTGATTATTTAAGTTTTTCTAGTCAAAACCAGGGCAAGTTGCCACTGTCAAATTCTCTCCGGTACGTGGACCATCCCTGTGACAGAAGACGGCACGTCCTGATGCTCTCAGAACCGAACTGACGCTCCTGCCACATGATAGCCTCCCTCCCACCTTTTTTTTGTTTTTTAAAGAATTAAAACAGAGCAGTGCCGTGGAGGTGCATCTCTGTCATTCCTCCCTTCATCCACATCTCTCACCATCTTCCCGAAGAAGGTGACAACTTATTTGGGGACATTTCCCTTGATGACACATCCGTGATTGCACACTTCAGTGAATTTATTGCGCTCTGATTTCATGGCTCTGTGGATCTGTGTCACATACGTGTCTCCGGACACAGTCACAGACTACTTCACGTCCGAGACTACTTCTTCCCTCCCTGCCTCCAGGGTCAGTTGCAGGGCTCATTGAATGAATGAATAAATGAGCGAACGAACGAACAAACGAGTGAATGAACAGGTACCCACGTGTTTTAAGGGTGCACCATGTGCCAGGCGCTGTTTTAAATGCTTCTCGTGGATGAGCTGATTGGATTCTGACGGGGGCCCTTTGTGGTTGCACGGATGCCTGATTGTCCCCGTACGAAGGTCTTACGTGTCTTGGTCCTCTTCAGGCTTCCGATCTCATTATCACTGTCGGAAGGTGTCAAATCATAGCCTCAGAATTCTGGACCTGCTAAGTAACTTAGGGATTACGTTATTGACAGCCAAGGGTACAGCTGCAGAGGGATTAAGAGGTCCGCCGGGTGTCACATAGCTGCAGAGTGGGGGCAAGAAAGCAGGTTTCCTGAGCCCCAGACCAGGGTCCACTGACTTGACAGCACTCTGCTCTCCTCCCAGAGGCTCCCTTCCCTTTGAGGACATGCGCATCAGTAAATGTCAGCATTGTGTGTTGTTGATATTAACATTGATTTTATATGCTGCTAATGAATTCTATTAGTAAATAATAGATAAATCATGGTAAGAAAGGTTAGTATTAACCTTCCTTCTCCCAGTCATTGTTGTTGAACACCGAAGACAAGACCTACTGTTCAGGAACCCAGTATCTCAAAGGCCCTGCAAAGGCCTCCTCTTAGAATTCCTGGTTTCACCCTGGACACGTGCTCATGGTTGTTAATGATCCATCTGTCTCCAGCTGGGGGTCCCCATTCCCCTCAGATGCCCCAAGCCCTGAAGCCTTCTTGGTCTTTCCCTCTTTGCCTGATCGCCCTGCTCTCATTTCAGGCTTTGGCTAAAAACACATCCCCTTCTCCCTTGTGCATATCTCGTCATTTCTTTCTCTCCCTACCTTTAGTTCTATTCGGCAGGGCGTTATTTAACATCTTGGCACAGAACTTGAGCCAATGGCCTGTGCCACGTAGTGCATTAAATCATGAAGTGACATCGTGTCCTTCCTTCTTGGGGTGGGGGTGGGGGGCAGGGGACAAGGAGACATCTTCATTCTTGCAGCAACTTTATCGAGGACCTCGTAAATGCAAGGCCCTGTTCTAGCTTCTGGGGTTATAAATGTGGGAAAAAACCCACACCAGACCGAGTTCCTTTATTTTAATAGGGGGAGACAGATACTAAAAAACTAATAAATATGTAGTATATCAGGTGGTGAGAAGTGCCTAAGAAGAAGTAGAGAGCAAGGAAGTGGACAGGGATGGGCGTGTGCAATTTTTAGTAGGGTATTCATGGCAGGCATTTGAGAAGGTGACGTTTGAGCCAGAGATGTGGAAGGGTTAGGGAGCAAAATGGATATCAAGGGGGAAGAGGGCACTAGCCAGGAGTACAGCAGGTGCAAAAGGTCTTAAGGCAGGACTATGCACGGTCTGTGTAAGGAGCAGCCGGGGGGCTGAGGTGAGAGAGAGCATGGTAGAAGGTGATTAGGTCAGAGGAGTAGAGGGGGGGCTCCCATCATGAGTGGCTTCTCAGTCATCTTTAAGCCCCTTGCCTTTTGCTCTGAGATGAGAAGCCATTAGAAGGTTCTGAGGTGAGAACTGGCATGATCTGAGTTCTGTGTAGCAGGATCGACTAGCCTGCTGCTCTGTTGAGCCTTGTCCACAGGGGCAGAAGCAGGCATCCGGGTAGGAGGCCTGCGCAGCACTGGTGGTGAGAGGTGTCGGGGCTGCAGCAGGGTAGGAAGGTGGGGTGGCGAGGGGTGATCAGGTTCTAGATCTGTTCAAAGGCAGGGAAAATGGATGTGCTGGAGTGATTGGGGAGCGTGGGAGGGGAGACAGGCGGCAGGAATGACCCCGGGTTCTAGCCTGAGCATCTGAAAGAACAGACTCGCTGTTTTCTGAGGTGGGGAAGGCTGAGGGAAGAACAGGACATGCCCACTTCCATTGAGAGAGAGAGCGTGTCTGCGGACTCCCATCCGTATATCATGTGCTGTGGTATTTCCCACCTCAAAAGTCATCCTCCCTCCTCCTTTCACCCCCAAGCATTCACCCATTCCTCCCAGTTTCCAGCTCTGCTTTGGCTCTCCCTGGAGTCCCCTCCACACCCCCACCTGCCCCTGACCCCATCACGCCAGCACCGCTGGTTCTTGTCAATCAGCAATGGCCTCCATGATGTCCAGTCCGTTCTCAGTCATCCCCCCACCCTTGCCACCAGCGAGGGCATCACCAGCTCCTCCCCTAGCCCTCAGACTCCTGTCCTCCATGGCCACCACGGGACCACGGTGTCCTTCCTCCCTCAGCCTCGCCCATCCCCACGGACAGTGTCTCTACCCTGCCAATAGTGAGCACATACCCTTGGTATGGAACATAGAGCGTCAAGGAGCATAAGAGCGTCAAGACGGGACAAAAAGAAATACAATGTTCCTATGTTGTCAAACGAATCTTCAGGGAATCTGTATTCCTGAATATGCCCAGTAGTTGCCTCTGCCAGACTCTTTGGGGTCCCCTATCAAAGCCTTCATTTGTGTTTTGTTTTTGTCACCTATAAAAGGAGACTAGTTGCTGAGTGCAGCTCTCAGTGATTTGCCCTGATGTGAGAACAGAAGCAGAACAGGACTGTGAGGGAGCAGGGCCAGATCAATGGCTAATACCCCAAATCACTCACCGCTGCAGTTTGACAACTCCCACAGATAATGGAAAGCCGCGTGCGTTGTTTGGAATAATGAGAGGCTGCAGAAAGATGAGAGGCTTGATGAAAAAACACAAAGCAGATTTTCTCATCCCAACAACCTTGGCCAGGCCCGAGTCAAGGTCATACAACCGTCTCTATCTTAAAGGATGTTTTTATCTCTAGCTTTTGTGAGCTTCACCATGTTTTCCAAAAGGAAACATATTTCACTTGACCTTAACTAGAAGGACTTACTGCATCCTCTCTTCTTGAACTTTATTCCTGTGTGTGTGTGTTTAATCTTTTTTTTTTAACCTTCCCAGAAAGAAGATTGGCCCATGCACAAGCTGGAATGTTCTCCCATGGTTGTTTTTGGGGAAAACTGGAATCCCTCAGAGACTGTAAGGCTAACTGCAAGGATTCTGGCCAAACAGGTGAGGAAATGGGATGGTGTTCAAGTGTACTTTCTTTTTTCTTTTCCTTAAAGGTCAGAAAGATGAGTGGCCTGTGGTGATCGTCTCTTGTTAAACATTCTTGGACTCTATTTCCCGTCACGTCCCTATGGACAGGCGTGGGAATAACACTCCAGGCAGAAGCTGGTTTGTTGTTTGCCCTGTGCAACGAGGATGTCACTTACCCCAGGTCAGGAATGCAGCCACAGCTGTTAAATTCTGAACTTTTTTTTATGAGACAGGTTTACATAGAAGAATACGGCCTTTCACAGCGTGAAGACCTGAGTGAAAATAACTGGAGCATCTTAGGGAACCAGACTGGCCTGAGAAGCTTTGTGATTTTCCCCTTTCTTTCTGACACCCGGACTGCTCCCTGTCCCTCCTCCCAGCAGCGTCCTGTTCCTCCCCGTCGCCGTCTCTTTACTTGCTCTCGTTTAGGCAGGCAGGGAACGGGATGGAACAGCCAGCATGGCAGATGCGAAGGAGAAGGGGAAGGAGTGGAAAAAAGTAGAAATCGAGGCAAAGTGAGAGAGGAAGAGGGTAAAAGAAAGAAGTAGTAGAGAAAGAAATGCCCCCAAGGGGAACAGATGATGGCCATGAACAGTTTCCTCCAAAGATGACGACAGGACTGGAATCCTCCGCCTTTTTTTGGTCAGTCCTTACTGACTGAGGGCTAATGAGGTGCCGGATCTCCAAAGGACCAAACTAAAAGATGGGGGAGAAGTACCGTAGGACATGTCCTTGTGACACAGTGTAATAGGCTATATGGTGCTCAGAAGGCATAGATCTGCAGAGGTGCCTGCTCGTATCGAGGAGGTGCTTGCTACTAAGAAGTTGGTGGCAGGGCTTCTGTACTGTACATGTCTTTTTTTTTTTTAAGATTTTATTTATTTGTCAGAGCGAGCACAAGCAAGAGGAGTGGCAGGCAGAGGGAGAAGCAGGGAGCCCAGTGCGGGACTCCATCCCAGGACCTTGGGACTTCATGACCTGAGCCGAAGGCAGCTGCTTAACCAACTGAGCCACCCAGGCGTCCCAATACTGTACATGTCTTGAAGCTGAAATTTCATCCACTTCTTCTTTATACCTGCCACACTGCCTCCCTTTAAAACTTCCTATTTTTTATCTAAGCCAAATGGGATTGTAATGATTGGCACATATCTGTCCCCGGCCCAAGTTAGGATTCTGGGCCGCATAAACAGAGGTAGAACATTTCCAAACTCTGAGGTCATTGTTCCATTATGTGCGGCGTGGGTCAGGTGCTTGCTGAAATGCCACTTTATCCGCTCCGGGATAAGCAGAGGATTCAAGGGTTGCCTGTAGGGTGAGATCAAAAACATCCAAACTGTTTTCCTAGGAGGATGTTAACTTTTGAGTCCTTACTAACAATTATCTTTTAAATATACGCTGAGTTCTTGGTCAGGAGGAAAGGGTAGGAGGTGGTGTGCCTGGGCGTGGTGTCAGGGTGAACAGGCCATCGCAGTAAGATCTGTGAGTGTTTTGGGAAGGGTGCGGTGCCCAGTCTGATGGTTCTCCCCTGCCCCGCCTCATACTCTTTGGTGGCATTTATAGTATTGTGGTTAAAATTCAGAAGAAGCTGGTGTACTTTCCTGAATGAAAAGCTTTCCCAGGCAAGATGACTTAACTAATCTTACAGAAATGTATCCTGTGAATGGAAGATTTCTGCTCCAAAAAAGAACAATGGAAATGTTTTGGCACCAGGAGGGGTGGTCTGAAGGCCCTGATGAGTTTATGCCAGTTCCATTCAACTTGTATTATAATTACTATTACTACTGATAGTCTATTAAATTAAAAGTTACCTGGCCATCCTTTCATCTCAGTAGGACTTGATGATTAGAAAAACCAGACCATTTGTATTCTAGTGGCTTGCAAAGGATTAGGGGAGACAGGCTACCCAACTACCAAGGGGAAGCTTAACATGTTAACTAGGGAGGTGAGAGCGTCCTGCTAGACCACCTGTATCCCCAGATTGAATAGCCAGATGACAAAGACACGGCCTCAGGCCAGCTCTTGAGCTCTGCTTTTGAACTCTTGTCAACACCAAGTTTATTCATGTTCTCAAAGCCTAGCAGGTTTACTATTGTTAGCTCCTCTTGGGGTGTCTAGAACAAAGCCAGCAACACGTTTAAAGTGAATCTGGGCTCACAGATACCACCAAAAGTGTTCTTTTTGAAACACAGAATTTGAGATCATTTTAGCCTATGCTTAAAGAAAGTGTAAAATGGATGGGGGGTTTGATTTTGTTCCTTTTTAGAAGGAGAAATAATAAATAGGATGGTTCCTCTCTACACTCAGAGTCCTTTTAAGTCGGGTCCCTAAAAAGTTGATTTCTCGCCACTCTTCTTTCCCGTAGCAGGCATCTTTGAGCCTACTGTGTGCACGTCTCGCTGTCAGGGTGTCAGGAATGTGGCAGCCGCTTTAGAAAGTTTTCCGGAAGAGTCTTTCCGATTTGGGCACTGGGCAGACACTCTCGGCGCCCGATGGCAGGACTCCTGGGAGAGTCTTCTTTGCTCCATTGAGAATCAGTGCTCTTCCTTCATGTCGATGTAACAGTGAAAGCACTACTCTTTGCCCTGGTGGTTAACATCTCCATCTGTGTGATTTCTTCCCGATTACTAGCAGATGCACCCAGAGCGAACAACTTCCGAGAAGCTGTTGGCCGTGAAGGAGTTTGAATCGCGTAAGTCTGTCTGTGACTGGCCGAGCAGTTGTTGCAGCAACACGTCTGTGGACGAGGCAGGGTTGGGGAAAGGCACGGGAAGCTCGTATTCCTCGTGGTACTGGGGATTTTAAGGAATAGTTTCTACTTTGACTCATGTGCCTGTTTTGAAAAATGACTGTAACTTTTTTTTTTTCCCCCCTGAGTTGACATGATGACTAGGAAATCATTAGGGGGAAGTAGGAACTCTCAGATGAATTGCTGCATCCCGAGCTATCTCCTGCTGGCTCTCCTGGCATGCTGAATATTTTTGTATCTTCACTGAATTGCAGTTCAGTAAACAGCTGGTGTCCTTACTGAAAGGCATTAAATCAGGGCTCTCTAGCTCCTTGACCATGACACAGATTCCAGGGCTAGTGGTGGGGGGAGGGGGCCGCACTAGACCGAGGCTGCTTATCAGCGCTAGCCACTCATTCCTGACCTCATTGCTCACGGTCAGTTGAAATTTCATGTCCTGAGTGACTTCCAGCTGTCAGAGGAAGAGAAGAACGAAATAGCATGCTTTTCTTAGAATTTATCAGTTACACCAAGTAATGGGGAAGAATATTTTCTGGGGGCTCCGTGGGTTTTTGTTTTTGTTTTTGTTTTTTTCCTCCCTCCATGCCATTTACAGTAAGACAAGGAGGTAGCTAGAAAGCCAGAGTTTTCTACCTGGTGAATAATGGTTTGTTTATCCCCAGATCTGGATAAATTAGACAATGAGAAGAAAGACTTGATTCAGAGTGATATTGCTGCACTTCATCACTTTTACTCCAAGCACCTTGAATTCCCGGACAGTGATAGCTTGGTGGTCCTCTTTGCACAGGTAAGAATGCCAGCATCTGGTGACCCTCCGCTAGCCTTTCCCTGCCCAAGTCCCTCTCCCCAGCACACACTCGGTAAAGATGAACGGAAATAGACTGATGGCTTCTGTAATGACAAGGCTGCTGACCTGTTGGACCCTGTTTTGCATAGCCCTGCTAGGTGACCTTGAGCAGACCTTGAGCTGGCCCTCCTTGATGGGTGGTACATAGGAAATTTACCTGACCTCTGCCTCTTGCCACAGAAAGAGTTTATGCAAACAGGGGGTTGTCGGTGCCCCAGTACTGTGGCCTTCTAGACGCTCTTTGAAAGGAAAGACCATTTGAGGTTCCCACATTAAATTTCACGTTTCTTCTCTTAAACCTTCCGTTCTGACAGTAGTGTTTTCTTCTGCCAACACTGTGTTGATAAAGCACAGGCAAACCCAGATGTGCCCAAGAGGGAGGCCCTCTCAGATAGCCCTAGGAAGGAACGTCACCACAGAGAGGAGCCCGAGTGGGTCTCGGGACAGCTAGTCTTTACGGACGGACGGTAAGACGTCTTTAGCAAAGTCGATGTTTACCAAAAGCAGGCCAGATAAAAAGATTAGAGAGACTTCTAGATAAGAACAACTTAGAAGTGATCGAGGCCCTGGAAACCAGCCGTGTGGAAGGGCTATGACGTAGGCACGGCTGGAGCAGAAGAAGAAGGTGCAGCGATCACTCCGTGTCTGCGCGCAGTCTGGGTGCAGAGATGCTGCTCTCCCGGCGAGGGTGGTTCTTCCTGGCCCGACTTGCCGGGTCCGATTTTTCTCCCTTACATAGCCTGCGTCTTCCCCTACAAGCCGGACCTGTAGTTGAAGGTGACCTGCCCAGAGAGAGAAATACGGCAGGACTGTTGCAGGGGTGCCCACAGCTACGTTCCCCTGCCAGAACCTTCCGTCTCTAGCTCCACAAAAGACCTCGGGTGGCTGCTTACCCATCTTGGTCTTAGAACAGAATCAGCTTCGCCTGTGTACCCTTTGACCCAGTAATTCTCTCTCCAGGAATCTGTCCTAAAGAAGTAATCAGAGACTGTGGACAGTAATTGACACGCCAATGGTCTATTGTGGGGTTCTTTTTAAAACTGAAAAAAAAAAGTAAAAAAGGAAATATAAATGGCCAGCAGTACAGGAGTTTGGAAAATAAATTATGGCATAGCCTTATGATGGGGGGTTATATGGCCTCTATATTTTGTTTCAACAAATGTCTAAAGATGTGCAAAACATTGATATAGCTGTAAGTGTAAAAGCAGGATAAAAATGTATATAATAAGAAAATACACATACATATGTTAAAAAAAAGATTCAGTAGAAGGTCACAGGTGATTATCTCCTGAGTTGTAGAAAATTTCTGAATTTTCTACAATGAGTGTGTATAACTTAAGAAAACACTCAAAAGGGCGCCTGCGTGGCTCAGATGGTTAAGCGTCTGCCTTCAGCTCAGGTCATGATCCCAGGGTCCTGGGATCGAGTCCCGCATCGGGCTCTCTGCTCCTTGGGAGCCTGCTTCTCCCTCTGCCTCTCTCTCTCTCTGTCTCTCATGAATAAAAAAAAAAAAAAAAAAAAAGAAAACACTCAAAAGGGAGCGCCTGGGTGACTCAGTTGGTTAAGTGTCTGCCTGAGGCTCAGGTCATGATCCCAGGGTCTTGGGACCCCACCTCGGACTCCCTGTTCAGTGGGGAGTCTGCTTGTCCCTCTACCCCTCCCCCACCAGCACGTGCACACGCTCGCTCGCTCTCTCAAATAAATAAATAAAATCTTAAACACTAAAAAGAAGAAAAAGATTAAAAAGCGCCCATAATTCTTCCACTTCAAAAATTACACCTCTAAAGAGTGAAGTGAGTCTTCATCTGTTTTCCGATCCACTTTAACCACCATGAGCATGACTGCAGTCAGTTGGATGAATTCCTTGATGGACGTAATATTATAGATATATTTCTATTTTGTGAGTATCATCATCAGAAAAAAAAAATGGATTCCATTTATGAACATTAAAGTAGATTTTCCTGATTTTCACATTATCGTGGATTTACAACACACTTTCCTAAATGTCCTAAGACAGTGGATTTGGGTGACAGTGGGAAGTTGAGGAATTGACTAATCTGCCATTTGTTTTTTAAAAAAAATGAGATACCTGACTCTCTTTCTGGACTAGAGGGGGCATGGTTATATGAAAACCCAGGAGAGATGAAATAAATAGTGTATTTTCCCTTCTAGCTGTGAAAGAAAGAATCCCTTTTCCTCCAGCACAGTAATATATGCTGATGACTTCTTAGTGTTGGTGTAGGAGATATGGGACCCTATTTTCACAACCAGAAATCAAGGCACTTGATCTCACAAGCAGAAGTATATTTGTGGTGAAAATTACTCAGAAACTTTGACATTTGGACTGACTTAGAAAATCCAGGAGAAATATATGTATATATATCTCCACACACACATATATATTCACACACACACACACACACACAACTGAAATAATTCCTTTATAGACTTTATCAAATCGTAATATCCATTCCCAGATTGTGCGTGCGTGTGTATACACGTGTATACGCATGCACACACACACACACACACCTACACACATATATTTTTTAATATATGAATTTGAAAAGGGACATTTAGTGTCCCCAGAGAAAACTAAAGCAAAGCTGAAAAGTGCTGTTCCAGCCCCGGGCCACCCTCTGGTCCTGCCTCCCAGCCCCAAGCTGCGTGTCCTCTGTTCCAGCCTCTGAGCCCTCTCCTGCCGCTGCTTCGTGGGAGGGCGTCGTGCGTTAGCTTGTGGCCCAGCAGGGGCTGGCCGTAGAAGGTGACTGCACCCCTCAGCACTGAGGTGCACTTTAATCACTGGGGACATATGCACGGTTGGGAAGTGTATTTTTGGTGTGCATCCTACATCTGGTCTAAATGCTAATTATGAGAATAGCTTTAGCAAGGCACTTATGCCTGATTTGACTTGAAAAAAAGGACTATGACCCATGCATCTTTCTTAACAACATGCAAGTTCACTTTTCTTCTCTAGGGATATTTCAGAGGGGAGGGAAAACTGGCAGAGAAATTGCTATGCAGTTTGGCTTGCACCCCATCCCCATCTCCCAGGAAGGAACAGTGATGACGCTGTCTCATAGGAGCCTTTGCTCCTGAAGAAACACACTCACACTTCCACAGTGAGAGGTGGAGGGTGGAGGTAATCGAGCGACCAGGGGTCGTAGAACGTTGAAGCCTGAAGGAATTTGGAGTCATACACTGATCCAGTTGAGCTCCATGCAGAGGAAGAGACTAAGAGGCAAAGGAGTGAGTCTCCTACCCTTTAGAGTTAGTGAGGAGCTGTCTGTCCCTCCATCAGTTTTGAAAATTGTTGCTAGATTCTTATTCATTCTCTCCTTCTGCAGACACTGCTGAGGCATGTTACTACCCGGTCTGAGGTTGTCTGTAGATCATTCAGGACCTACTATGGTGCAGGGCACATAGTTCATGGTCTAGTACGTTTTGTTGAATGAATGAGAATCCTAATTTACTCTTACGTAATGTTGGTTGTGGGTCATTGGTTCATGGTAGTTGGTTAATGTCCTGATGACACAACAGGTTGGGGTACTTGAAGATGGCACAAAAAATAGTACATTACGTCTTCTGCATAGAAATGCCCAATACCTCCGGACTTCGAAGGCTGTCCATTGTTCCAACCTGCAGCAATCTCTTTTTACGTTGAAAATTGTAAATACTGGTTGTAAATATGTTGAATTGCAAAAACCACAAATGAAACCCATCACAGCCTTTACTTCTCTGTGTGCCAAGATTTCTAAGCCTTTGACATTGGCCTTTTAATTTTATGGAAAATTGCCTTATTAATATTCCTAGATCAAAACAATTTCAGAGGAAAATGGCATAGGGTGAAACTCTTCTGTTTCTGAGAACTTTGCTGTCTGAATGTCTAGTCTGAACTCTGACTCCTGTTCTGCCACTCACTACTTACATGGCCTTGAGCAAGTTCTTAATCATTGACCTCTGCCTGAGTCTCAGTTTCCACATCTGTAAAATGGGTTATGTCAGAGCAGTTTTGCAGATTTATGAGAGTAAATATGTAGCACCTAGCATAGGGCCTGGCCCAGAAGAAGCGCTCAGTGGATGCTAGTTTTAAAAAGCCCATCTGGTGGCCTGAAACATACCCATGCGGTCTCTCCAGTATGGAAGAGCATGGTTCTGGCCCATGGGGTGAAAGCGATCAGCGTGCGTGCCTCACACCCAGCCTTCATAGCAGCTTGGCAGGAGCGGGGGTCTCAGCCTTTGCCACTGGCTTTGGGCAAGTCACTGCTCCTCTCTGACTTCAAGTTCATCATTTGAAAAGTAAAAAGACTGAGCCCCCTTCCAGTTCTGAAATCTTAGCTACAAAGGGAAAATACCCACTGAATTGTCTCCCAGTAAACCAGGTGTTCCTCGAGGCAGATTTTGGCCTGTTCATCCTTCTGTGCCCAGTGCCCAGCCTGTAAGAGCTCTCAGTGAATGTCGGTAGAAAGAATGAATTTATGGAAAACCATAAAATTGGGGATGTACAGTCCTCATTTGTACCTGCTTGCTCTAGGTTAGACTTCCACAAGCGTGAGAGTTGCTCGTGGCATTTTTCAATGTAACATTTCTTTTTAAGGCTGAGAAAGTCGCCAGTGGTTTATATGGGCTGAGACGTGAAAGGCAGGCCTCTGTTCCTTAGCCTCAGGCCCTTGGCTCCTCTGCCTCTCGAGGGGATGGGCAGCAGTTAGATTAGCTGTGGCAGGGTTTTCCCATTTACCACCTCACCTCATGGGGTAGGTCCTGGATTAAGTGACTTCTTTTTTGTTAATGTGTTATTTACTGGAGTATAATAGGTGTACAATATTATGTGAGCTTCAGGTATACAACATAGTGATTCAGCACTGGTAGACATTGAGAAATGGTCACTGCTCTAAGTCCAGTTGTCATGTCACCTTACAAAGTTAATAAAATATTCTTGCCTATGTTCCCCATCCCATACGTTACATTCTCATGGGTCATGGCTTCTTTTTTAACGGGAGAAAATCAAGGACAGAGGGTCTCCGTGATGGGCTCAAGATCACATGGCCAATCTGTGGCATAATTGGGATTGGACTCCAGGTATTGTAACTCCAAACTTCAGTCCTTGGAGCCTTCACAGCTGTGGTGGCCTCAGGCCACTGTGCGTAGGGGAGTAGGTCGGCTACACTAAGGTGCTTCCTTCCTAACAATTCTGCTTTTTACACATGAGATTGATGGGTCAGTTTTGTTTGAGCCAAGGATACCTTGGCCAAAAGAAAGGTTTTTACATCCCTAAACTGGAACATCGTCCTAGTTAATTTGTATGTAAAAGGTCAAAATTAAAGAATGATTTCTATCCAAAGAGAAGCTTCAGCTCACCTGTTTCTTTCTCACCCTTTCTCACTGCAGGTTAACTGTAATGGCTTCACAGTTGAAGATGAAGAGCTTTCTCATTTGGGATCGGCAATATTTCCCGAGTAGGCTGAGTTTGACTTCACTTCTTTTCTTTTTTACTTACTTAACACTAATTAGATTTTTTTTTTAATTTTTAAATAACCTAACTGCATGTGGCAGACATGAAACTCCAAGTGAATTAAGACACCTTTTTAATTCTGCCAGGTTTCAAAATATTTCCCATACATTTAAGGATCCAAAGGTAGTAGTTAAGAGAACAGTTGCTTGTTAAGTCCTGCTAGGCACGGAGCTATTATTAAAGAATATTTTATAGTGTGCATAGAAGGAACAGTCTGTACCCTGCTGAGAAATTTGCTTTTTGCGTATCTTTGGTTTTGGAAATCTTTGGGTTTCTTACACTCAAAGCGAAAACACTAATTGCCAACCAAGAATTGGCCATAGGCTAACGCAGAGACGATATGAGCTGCTTCTACATCTGCTTATTCTTGAAAAATACGAGTGTAGAAACAGCACAGTTTGCGGGGGGAGACTCTGCTCAAGTAGCGAACTAGGAAAATTTCAGAGAATGACAGGATTTTTCTTTACTTCAGAAATACTCAAGTAATTCAAGAAAGGCTGGCCAGCTGACAAATGGAGATCTTTATAGCTCTGACTGTCATGGATTTGCCAAAAACGGCTTTGCCGTGGTGTCTGATGGAACGGGTATTTTCAGAATGCTTCAGTTCCCTGAAATCCAGCCCTCACTCCACAGATGGAGCGAAGGAGCCCTCCCTGCATCCCCTCTCTGACTGAATCCACAGTGTAGATTGGCGAGGTTACTTAACATACACCACCCAAGCCTCTAGCTTTGGGCTGAAGCAGAGAAAGGGGACACCCATGCGTTTGCTGTGGATGACGTGTGAGCTCCTGGTGTGTGTGTGTGTGTGTCGCCGCCTGGATCTGCACATCACCCGGGTCTGAAAGATAGAGAAGCACCTGGACAGGCCCGTGTCTCTTAGGCACCTGCCGTAGGCTTTCCCGGCCAGTGCAACCAAAAGTTTATTCACGTGATATTGTCCCCGTGGCCAAAATGGTGTCCTCGGCCATTTGAATTCTGATAGTGAGGAAAGAAGTGTCTTGGGGAGAAGCCCTTGGGAAAAGAAAGGAGAAACCGAGAGAGGCCATCAGACCCTCTTTAGAAGGCTCTTCCTGACAACTTCAGACCTGAAAGAACATGTCTGCTCTCAGTGTTTTCCAGACGAAGAGCAAGGGTCAGAATGGTGTTGTCTGAGGTTTTACCCAGCCCAGTGATGGCAGGAGAATGATGATACCAAGGGCGTGAACTGTTCTAGGTTCTTCGCCTTGGTGAATTTCTTCCACCCTCATTGAAAGGATATCCAGGAGTCTGTCTTGAAATGAATTAATAGTTCTACAAAAGATTCTAGAAAGCGGCTTTTCCTTTAGTGACAACTTTCAGTGCATTTGTTTATCAGATTCCTCGGGGCCTGATTGCCTGTTGGTAAGCCAGGTGGGCTGTGCTGCATGGCGGGGGCGACCCTTCCCAAGGACAAGACAGGGGACTTGCTACGTGTTCTCCCAGGCCCGAGGCCAGCCACGTAGCTCGCTCACTCGGGCCAGTAGCACCTGGGAGGCGGAAGAGGACCGCTCCCTGTGGTGCTCGGCAAACCCGGTCCAGCTCGCCCTTGTCGGGCCCTGCTGCCCTGTGCTCTTTTGTACTGGGGCAACCAGGAGCGGGGTTCCGGTTGCTGAGGGCTCAGGCAAGTGACCCTGACCATGTTGCATATGGATGTGCGTGACCACCTGAGCCCCAGTTTCCGGGCAGTTTTAATTGGGGGAAAAAAATCCCTTTGGGCAGAAATCACATCGGCATTGTGATTTCAAAGGCAGCATTTTCAGAGATCAAGCACTTTTTCCCTGTAGTTTAGAAATTTCTGTTCTCAGAACTTTGACCTTGATATAATCAGAAAGCTCCAAGCCCCTCACATAGGCGAGTCTCTCTGTCCTCTCCTCTGTCCCTGAAAAGCAGACAGTGACAGCGGGAGCAGTAATGTCCCAATTTTCCAGATGAGGAAATCCAGGTGCAGAGAGAGAGGCAGCTGGGCTCCTCGGGGCCTCTCCGGGCACCCCAGACCCTGCCCGAGGAGGCTGGCCTCTCCCGCGGAGGTGGTTTCCCGACAGCTGAAGAAAACATGTTAGACATAATCCACGAACAGAAGCCGCTTGGACCCGGCACCGCGTCTGCCCTGTGCGGTGTCCAGTGGAGGAACCGTTTGCCACGGCCGCTGGGCTTTCAGTCCTTCATCCCACAGGAGGGAATGGCGGTGGGATTCCTCGTCGCTGCTATTTTTATTGTGTGTTTTTTTTTTTTTTTGGGGGGGGGGGGCCGAGATGTCACCATTTTGAATTGTGAATTTCGCTTTTCAATATTGTTAGAGACGTTAGATATAGATACAGGCAGGACAACCTCTTAGACTATGATGGCCAACTATTAGATTGTTTTTTAAACATCCTACAAAGATCCCGTTCCTGCAACTTACTAAAAGTAAATAGCCCAGATCGCCCAATCAGTCCGTCCTCCTTCTTGAGGAAATTGGGTTTTGTTTTCTGATTGACAGCGTTGCATTGATGAATCATAGCTGTTGCCCCAATGTCATTGTGACCTACAAGGGGACCCTGGCAGAAGTAAGAGCTGTACAGGAGATCAGCCCAGGAGAAGAGGTGAGTGTGTGGCCGGCGGCAGCCGGGGCCGTTGGTTTCCGCCTGCGGTTTTACAGGGCAGTCTGGAAGATTCCGTGTGGCAGCGCTGGGCAAGACGGGCTGGGAGTGAGCCCAGCAGCTGCACTATTTCCAGCCTCGGGCCTTGCAGGTTAGTGATCAGGTTCATGACCCATGCCTTCGAGCCTCATGCTTTTGCCTTCCATTCGATGCTCCCCATTTCCGTCTGTGGCCAAGAAAAAACAGAAAAGAATAAATTCGAGCTCAGTCCCTTACAAAGATTTACAGAGATTTACAGAGAAAGAACACTGCCAAAATACCACAGTGAAATTTTGGATGCTCCTAGGCATCTCTGTATTTCTACCACCAAACATTGAATTTGAGCTCTTTCTTTTTTAATTAGCAAATTTTGGCCTGTTTTTCTCCCCCCAGAAGGTCAATACCATTGTTATCTGAAAGAGAGAAAAGCCAGCCCAGCAGTAGCTAAAGAGTTAAAACTCCAAATGGACACATCAGCCTTGCACATGCTGTCAATTCCACATCTGACCTCCAGAGAGACCATTTTCTAGGAATGCGGTTCAGGTAGCTGGCCGTACACACCAACAGGGCACGGGGAGGCAGTCTGTGGCCAAGAGGCCCCCTCCTAACTTAGGGACTCGGAGAAAGCCAGGTGTTCTGTCCCCTGCACAGTGATGCCCTCTCCTTTCCCAGGCCCTGCCTCCGTGACCACCTTCTAAGATGCCTCCAGAAGGCTCCAAACGGCTGCTTGGCGAATCGCTGGAGGATGCTGTGTGTTCTTAAGTAAATAATAAACTCCCTAGCAAGGACACATGAATTGGTAGGGAACATAATCACATACTCAATTTCAATTTAATCGTCTTCAGTGCTATTTTAAGGTTCGTGTCTGGATATTTTCAATTTTAAATGCAGTGATCGGTGTGCTAAATGATCAAGGCCTTGGCTTCTCCAGAAGCTGTTAACCAACCCACAGCCAAACGACCTGAAGGCCAGGGCACAGATGAGACTTTCTGCCCTTCGCTTAATTCATCATGACGAGGGTACCCTGTTTTCGGTTGGGGCATCTTGGTTTCCAGATACCTTGCGACTACGCCGATGCCTCTTTTGTTAAAATACACAGTCTCAGTGGGTCAGAATGTAAGTCACCAGGCTCCAGGGCTCCCATGGGGCCAGGTGGGGACTCCGCAGTCTATCACCTAGACGGGCTCTGCCTCCGCTTGCGCAGCGACACTGAGCGGCCTCTGTCGCCATCTTCTGGGCCCTTGTGTTTGTTGCGCGATGTGTTCATCTGTCATGTCAAAGAAATGAGGAGGGAGGCCGGGTAGAGCTTGCTCCTGTTGGTTTGCCCTCCCGCGCTGACAGATCGGAAATGCGGTAACCTCGCGTTGGGCCAGTCACTGCCTTGGGGGAGACTTGCCCTTCAAAGAGGGTGTCAGATGAGCCGCGAGGTCTCCATTACTGCCCTTTGGGTTGGGAGCTTGGCTTGGCGGCGCCTGCAAGCACCCAGCCCTGTGCAAGTCCCCCCTGCCTGCCTGCCAGTGCCCGAGGTTACTGGCACGCTAACGGCTTTGTGACATCCATCTGTTTGGTCAGACATTTGCCTGATGGTGTGGGATGAGCAGCAAGTGCCGTCCCAGTGAGTAGATAATGGGCAGTTAAATGCCGGGCTCCTCCATATGCTCTAAGTCCCGGTTATAGACCCCCTTAGAAAAAAGCAAAGACGGGAGGACCCAGCGAGCCCAAAGGCAAGACTTTTCCAAGTTCTCTGGCCCAGCTGGGTAAGGCAGCAGCATGCTGGTGTCCTAGAGGCTGTGTCTTCCCTCTGTGGACGTGCCCCAGCCTGCCCGGCCCAGCTTCTTGCTCCCTTGCCGGCTGAGTGCGGATGTGTCCCTGCCGCCCCTCCACCCAGCAAGGCGTTCGAGCTGGCCCAAGCCGTGAAAGAAACGAGGCTGAAGGAGGGCCGCGCAGACACAGACCCGGGCCAGTCTCAAGGATGAGTCGGGTCTGTGCATGTCCTCATGTGTTGGGGCCATGCCCTTGCTGGGCATGCTTTCAGCCCTCCCCATTTACTGTTCTTGGGACTCCTTGATTCTTTAGAAGGCGGGAAGAGAGGCTCTTTCTCTCCAGCACAAGGAGGGGGACAAAACTAGGGGATTGCTGACTTAAAAGAATATGGGGTTTTGTTTTATTTTTTTAAGATTTTATTTATTTATTTGACAGAGAGACAGCGAGAGAGGGAACACAAGCAGGGGGAGTGGGAGAGGGAGAAGCAGGC